CGTATTTCCATGTCTCCATTCTTCCACGCCACCGCCAATTTCTGCGGTTTGCGTTCGAGGGTCGAGCGTGGCAGTACAAGGTCCTCCCTTTCGGGCTCTCTCTGTCTCCGCGGGTCTTCACCAAACTCGCGGAGGGTGCCCTAGCGCCCCTTCGGCTCGCGGGCATTCGCATACTCAGTTATCTCGACGTATGGCTGATTTTAGCCCACTCGCGGGAGCAATTGATTGTGCACAGGGACGAGGTGCTTCGGCATCTCCGCCTACTGGGGCTTCAGGTCAACCGAGAAAAGAGCAAACTCGCCCCCGTGCAGAGGATTTCTTTTCTCGGGATGGAGCTGGACTCGATCACCATGGTAGCGCACCTCTCCGAGGAACGCGCTCGCCTGTTGCTGAACTGTCTGAGGGAGCTCGACAGCAACTAGTGGTCCCACTGAAGTTCTTTCAGAGGCTCCTGGGGCATATGGCATCCGCAGCCGCCGTCACGCCGCTCGGGTTGCTCCATATGAGACCACTTCAGCACTGGCTTCACGATCGGGTCCCCAGACGCGCATGGCACGCGGGCACACACCGGGTCTCGGTTACTGCGCTGTGTTGCCGCGCCCTCAGCCCTTGGAACGACCCCTCGTTTCTACAGGCCGGTGTGCCTCTAGGACAGGCGTCCAGCCATGTTGTTGTTTCAACAGACGCTTCCAACACGGGTTGGGGGGCCGTGTGTCGCGGGCATGCGGCTGCGGGCCTCTGGAAGGGTGCCCAGCTGCATTGGCATATCAATCGCCTAGAGCTGTTGGCAGTGTTCCTCGCTCTCCACCGCTTTTTACCGGTGCTGGAGCGGCAACACGTGCTGGTCAGGACGGACAGTACGGCGGCGGCTGCGTATATCAACCGCATGGGGGGTATGCGCTCTCGCCGCATGTCTCAGCTCGCCCGCCGTCTGCTCCTCTGGAGTCACCCGCGGCTGAATCGCTGCGCGCCATTCACGTCCCAGGCACGCTCAATCGTGCAGCCGATGCGCTCTCACAACAGCTGTTACGCCCTGGAGAATGGAGACTCCACCCCGAGTCTGTTCAGCTGATATGGGCGCGATTCGGGGAGGCCCAGATCGATCTGTTTGCTTCCCCCGAGAACGCTCACTGCCAGTTGTTTTTTTCCCTGACCGAGGGCTCTCTCGGCACGGATGCACTGGCCCACAGCTGGCCTCGGGGCATGCGCAAGTATGCGTTTCCCCCAGTGAGCCTGCTCGCGCAGTTTCTGTGCAAGGTCAGGGAGGACGAGGAACAGGTTCTGCTAGTTGCGCCCCTTTGGCCCAACCGGACCTGGATATCAGAGCTCTCACTCCTCGCGACGGCCCTCCCCTGGCGGATCCCTTTGAGAGAGGACCTACTCTCTCAGGGACAGGGCACCATCTGGCACCCTCGCCCCGATCTTTGGAACCTCCACGTGTGGTCCCTAGACGCGAGGAAGACTTAGGTAACCTACCGACTGCGGTGGTTAATACCATCACTCAGGCTAGAGCCCCCTCCACGAGGCGCGCCTACGCCCTGAAGTGGAGTCTATTCACTGAATGGTGCGTCTCTCGCAGAGAAGACCCCCGAAATTGCCAGATTAGTGTTGTGCTCTCTTTCCTTCAAGAGAAGTTGGACAGCAGGCTGTCGCCCTCCACTCTCAAGGTTTACGTGGCCGCCATCTCCGCTTATCATAGCGCGGTAGCTGGCGGCACCGTGGGAAAGCATAACCTGGTCATTCAGTTCCTTAGGGGTGCTAGGCGAATTAATCCATCTCGCCCCCCTCTCATGCCCTCTTGGGATCTCGCCCGCGCGAGTCTGCGATCCGATCCCTTTGAGCCACTCGAATCAGTATCTCTAAGATTTCTGTCCCTGAAGACAGCTCTGCTGGTTGCGTTGGCCTCCATCAAGAGGGTCGGGGACCTGGAGGCATTTTCGGTCAGTGACTCGTGCCTGGAATTCGGGCCGGATTACTCTCACGTTATCCTGAGACCCCGCCCCGGTTATGTGCCCAAGGTTCCTACCACCCCCTTTAGAGATCAGGTAGTGAACCTGCAAGCGCTGCCCCCGGAGGAGGCAGACCCAGCCCTTTCTTTACTTTGTCCAGTTCGCGCTCTGCGCATTTATGTGGACCGTACTCAGAATTTTAGATCATCTGAGCAGCTCTTTGTCTGTTATGGCGGTCGGCAGCAGGGAAGTGCCGTATCGAAACAAAGATTATCCCACTGGATTGTGGATGCCATTTCACTCGCTTATTCGAGTCGAGGTCAGCCGTGTCCCCCGGGAGTACGTGCACACTCCACTCGGAGCGTTGCATCCTCTTGGGCGCGTGCACGCGGCGCCTCTCTAACAGACATCTGTAGAGCTGCGGGCTGGGCGACACCCAACACATTTGCAAGGTTTTACAATCTGCGAGTGGAGCCGGTTTCCTCAAGGGTATTAGGTAACCCTTTGGTGATTGAGGAGACAACTCGGTAGGGTGTTGAAACACGCTTGCTGCGCCATTCTCCCTAACACGGAGGTACGTGCGCCTTTTTATCTGTCAGTAAAGTTCCCCGTCAGGTGAGCCCTGCAGATTCCTCCGTGGCCCCCAGCACTGACTCAGCGGAGGAGTCACTTGCTGGCCCGCGTTTTGGGTATAGGTGCCTGCTATGCGTGATCCCCACTAGGCGATCCCATATGCTTATTCCGCCACGGTTAAGTCCCCCCCCTGGGCGGACCCGTGTCTTCCCTCTCCGCTAACCACTCTTTGCTATGCGTACTCCCCCTTTTTAGGGCTAGTCCATAGGTAAATTCTGCCATCTATCCCCCCCTTGGGTAACGGATGGCCTCCGCAGCGTCCTCCCTATCGGGATTGCACGCTTCCCAACGTACTGTCGTATTTCCTAGAATTATCTAGATGCTCACGACTTCCCAAAAAATATATCTAAATCCGTAAAACTTCTGTTGAAGTAGGATAAATTAGGGCCAGGGACACGTTGGAGGACCGCGCCCCCCATGATGTGGGTGCGTCACGCTTGCTTGACTATCTCCTCATCGGGGGTGTTGGTAAGGTGCAGTAATTATGGCGCTTTCCATATTCTCCCATTCATGGCACTGAAGTTCCCCAACCGAAGGGGAACGTTCGAGGTTACAGAAGTAACCCTTCGTTCCCCGAGGAGGGGAACGGAAGTGCCATATTCCGTCGCCATAATGACTGTCCCTTAGCTGTTTGAAAGTCTCTTCAGCTTAAAAGGATGGCGTCTGCTGGCTTCAGGTGTGCTTATATGCTGAGATGATTGCAGATGTCGCACACCTGCGCAAGCTTACGCTGCCAATTAATTTCATTCATTGGCCCGTTCAATACTCTCCAGATAAGCGGCTTCTGATACGAATCCTCCCATTCATGGCACTTCCGTTCCCCTCCTCGGGGAACGAAGGGTTACTTCTGTAACCTCGAACGTTCTTGCTTCTTTGCACAAGAATCGACAGACTTTTTTAAAAGCATGATTCATTGCTGCGCTCTGTCATTTTATTATTACAGTGCTGTAAATGGCATTTCCTATATCATTGTTCCCCTGGCTTTTTGGACTCATAAGCGACAATTCTCAGTAAGTCAGCTTTCAGCAGTGAGTCAAGCTCCACCCTTTTGGTTGCACACATTTGTGCTAGCTACCCATATGAACGGGTCCCAAAAAAGTGGTACATATAGTGGAAACAGAAAGAAATGTGCATCAATCTGTAAATACTGGACTGTCACTGTACCATTAAGTGAAAACGAGCCATTACTTATTTAAGATGGAGGAAGGAGTTGTTCATGAGATTCTCTTTTGCACCTGTGCTTTTAATAGATTACATGAATGTGATTATTTTAACTCACTCAAAAAATAAATATATTTTTGCTTGATCAAACTACTTATGTAAAATGAGCTGAAACAACACAATTCTTAAAATTTCATTTTAACTTAATTTCTTTATGTTTAATCCACATAAGTTTGTTAAAACTTTTAAGTTAACTTAATTGATTTGCATTGGGACAACATGTATGAATTGTGTGGAACCCTGCATTTTTTACAGTGCTGCTCTTGCACTTCAAACTCATTTAAAATTAGTTAAACAACACAATTTTTTTTTTTTTTTTTTTTGGAAAAACTTAATTCTTTTATGTTCAATCCAAATTTGTCAACTTAAAGTTGACAAAAAAATGTTGTCAACTTTTTTTCCAGTGTGGTAGCCTGCATTGGTCATTATGAAAATGAGCTGCTGAACGTGTGTTCTTAAATTTACATGTTATCAGTACTTTTATGGATGTGCTGTTTAGTAAATATTTGAATCAGTTGACAGCAAATCCTAACCAGGGTGTAGAATTGGCATGGACGGATTGGACGTGTCCCCACCAATATCCACCAATTATTGAAATATAATGATTTAATCGACTTCAGAATAAAATAATGCTCTGTCAACCCTTAGTAACCAACACGTTACTACAAGTCAAGTTCGCTATGAGTTCACTGTAATACTATTAACCAGGGTAGTGCAAATAATTCAGTGAACTTAAGTAAATCAAAATTCAGTTTCCATGTTGGGCTCCATTATTTTAAAAATCCATAATCGGGATAAAACAGTCCAACTGTGTCACACTCCTCAAAATTTCTCTACATTTATACCTCTTCAAAGCCCAACTGCTGTATAATCATATGAACTGATTTTTGCAGCATGGAACAGGATTGTTATTTGTATTATTAAGTGTTTATTTCATATTATTAAGTACTTTATTCTTGTTTTTAAAAGTGCAAAAAGGATTTACGCAATGCATGCACTCTAGGGATTTATGTCTTCACTAATGTCAAGAGCAAATCTACACTTTTGAATCCCAATAATCTTGCTTTAATTTTTAAGCATTAACATTTAACTCGCATGAATCTTTTTCTTTTACTCCAAGTACAACATATTGACCTCACTGTTTACTGGCTGACTTATAAACTGTGATGATGTGAATCTTTGTGTATTGTTGTGCAGCTCAACAGTTATGGGTGCCACTGGACAAGAGCGAAGCGATGAAGACAAAGAGAACGATTTGGATAGAGAGACGAGTTTGTGAGTTGATGTATTTGGAAACTCTCTGTATCGTGCCACACTACAAGCACTACTTTATGCTTCTGTTCTGTAGGTCTGTGTGTGCCAGTCTGTGCCCAGGCACTTGTTGTATTTACATGTTATATTTACATGTTTTTATATATGTTTGAGCGCGTGTGTGGAGATGAGTGCGACTGAATTTGTATGATTGAATCTGCCACCCACAAGGACGATTGTTGGGTTGCGTTTTCCAGTCTAACGGTCCAATTGTAGTTTCACCTGTAGGTAAATAAAATAAGGTTACTTTTGTTTTCAGCCAGGTAGACCGTATTTTGTATGTTTTATAATTTTTTTGACTGTAGATCCTATTGAAATCTCTCGTCTTATAGCCTGTACGTGTTTTTAATATACAATTCATTTTTTTTATTACACATAAATGATTGATATTCATTCACATAGTTAAAATATTGTATTAACGTGAAGCAATTTCTGATAGAAGATGCAAAATGTACAGAGCCTGGGAAGGGATGTGATGGTGGGGGAAAAAACTGGGTGGGAGAAAAAAAAGTGGGTGTGAGGAAAAAAAAACATTCCCTCAAAAAGATTTATCTCGCAAAGATGTTTTGCATTCCCTCGCAAAACTCTTCTGCCACACTTCCTGTTCACTTCATACATGTCAACACACCCATTTTGCCAGGATTCTCCAATGTTGTACCATTCTATTCCATTATCATCCTATCATTAAGTAATTTTCCATATTTCTCATATTACATTAATATTAAAACATGTAATATTAAACATTAATATTAAAAATGTCTCCATTCACCTTCTTTACAATAATGCTGTGCATCGACCATCCCACTTCATATGCAACCCCTTGAATCTGCGAATGCATGTACAGTATTAGCGCTGACTGATAGATGCGCTTCTTATGATAAACTGATCCCAGATCAGCTTCTGTACATGTCCATTTAAAGAGGAGCGAAAGTGCAGGACACTTTGGGATTTGGATACGTGTTTAAACAGATAAACACTCTTAATAATATGTAAACATGTCTGTCTTGCGCGTTTTATTTTGAACACAACTAATTTTCTTTTAAATGAGCACAAATAGTTACTAAAGTGTTCGAATGCTTTCATTATAGATCTGAGCATTCTTACAGTGACACCTCTGTTATTAAACAAAACAAAACGAGAGATTTATTTGCTGCTCTTCACTTGTTTGATAGCAGAGGTGTTGCTTTAAACGGCGTGTACAGAAGCTGATCTTGAGTGCTTATACATACATTCGCTGATTCAGGGGTTGCATATGAAGAGCAATGATCGACGCACAGCTTTTTAGGGAGAAAGTGAGACATTTTTATATTAATTCCAGTATGCTTTCAAGATTAAAAATATGGGAGAAATATGGGAAAGTACTTAATGATAGGATGATAACAGGAAAGAATGGTAAAATACAGGAGAATCCTGGCAAAAATGGAAAGGTTGACATGTATGAAGTGAACAGGAAGTGTTTATGAAAAAACAGCAAACAACAATTTTTTGTGAGGGAACGCTAAAACTTCTTTGCAATCCCTCACAAAACATCTTTGCATTCCCTCACAAAAATCTTTGCCTTCCCTCACAAAACATCTTTGCATTCCCTCACAAAACATCTTTGCCTTCCCTCACAAAACATCTTTGCATTCCCTCACAAAAATCTTTGCCTTCCCTCACAAAACATCTTTGCATTCCCTCACAAAACATCTTTGCCTTCCCTCACAAAACATCTTTGCATTCCCTCACAAAACATCTTTGCATTCCCTCACAAAACATCTTTGCATTCCCTCACAAAACATCTTTGCCTTCCCTCACAAAACATCTTTGCCTTCCCTCACAAAACATCTTTGCATTCCCTCACAAAACATCTTTGCATTCCCTCACAAAACATCTTTGCCTTCCCTTACAAAACATTTTTGCATTCCCTCACAAAACATCTTTGAATTCCCTCACAAAACATCATATTTTTTTTTCTTCAACCCAGTTTCCCCCCCCCCCCCACTATCACGTCCCTTTTGGTTCTTCGTAAGACATAGTTCTATCAGCTTTTTAAAATGACTGCGTGAAAATGTCATCTTTGCATTCCCTCACAAAACATCTTTGCATTCCCTCACAAAACATCTTTGCATTCCCTCGCAAAACATCTTAATGAGGGAACGCAAATACTTAAAAATATATATATTTTCCTAACACTATTTTTTTTCTTCCACTCGTTTTTTTCTCCAACCCAGTTTTTTTCCCCACCATCACGTCCCTTCCGGATCTCCGTAGAAACATAGTTCTATCAGCTTTTAAAAATGTCTGCGTGAAAACGTCGGTTACATCACTTCATACATTACTCGATGTTACCATTTACTACTTACGAACAGTGACCAATATTTGTAAAAAATACTTTTATGAACAGTTTGGGGAATTTTATAGTTTTTCCCTACAAACACAAACTTGTACTTGTTTTAATCTAAATTTTCTTGAACCTCTTGATATGAAACACACCCATGTTCATAAATTTACTTGATTATTATTTTTTTCTTGCTGTTGTGGTTGTTGTTTTTAATTTTTTTATTTTTGAACACAAAGCTTTATCTCATTCTGTGTAGCACTCGACCATGCAAATAATAGTAAACATATATTTTGTTAAAATGTTGCATATAATAAAAGTGTATTTGACAATGTTTCTGAGTGACAGGGCATCTGTTTCCTCTTCAAGACTCATTTAAAAGCCGTAAAGAGACCTCATCGCTCTGACGAACGAATTAAACTATTACTGCCGAGAATACAAAAACCATACAAGAAATGCAATAATATTCATTGCCATAAGAGGGGCATTATAACATGTACTAACCAGAAACGGTCTGTGATCATCGACACATGTACATGTGATTCTGTATTTTTGTCTGTGTGTATAATCTTAAATAACTCAACTTGTGGATAGATTTAAATATGTATAGAATGGGGAGATGAATGTTTTCATGTTACTGTCAGTGTTATTACAGTGTTTTGCCATTTTGGGAATATGGTTGATGAGACCACGACACGCACATTTACGTCATGCACATGTCGACAGAATAAAGTATTCTGTTGATTTCACTGTAAAAAAAAAAAAAAAGCATTACTTCCTAAAGAAGCCTCTGTTGTTTATTAAATTATTCATTCAGATGAACATGTATGCTACAACTGTGAGAATTTTTCATCAGAATAAATGTGACTACAAATATACGGATGCCAGAGTGTGTTTTCTTTCAGTTTTTCTCACGTTTTTACTAGTCGATTTAAATGTTTCAAATCTATTTGCTTCTTGAATAATTACACAATTGTTATGAAATGAAGAACATTTTAACATAATTAAACCTGTTTATCTTGTCATTATTTATTTGGTGCAAAGTCAACTATTGGATTGAAAGAATAACTTGCCAAAAAAAAAAAAACTTTTCTAGATGTACTTTTTTCAAGGACATTTTAACAGTATAAAAGGACAACTAATACTAGGTTCAGCCAATTTACAATGAATAAGACCTCTAAAGGTGATCTCAAGTTTAGTGACAAAATACAACCTTCACCCTGTCAAACCTTTATCCAGCTTAGCCAATCAGATCAAAGGATTTAATGCCATCATTTTCTATGATGTTGTAAGGCTTGAAGCTTACGCTGCTATTCTGAACCAATAATCGGAAACAGGAAGCAGTTGAAGGATGGCGTGTTTAAATCCATTATTTATCTGACTCCATTGTAATTAATCTGACTCCATTAAAGTTGTTATCATCATTGATAAAGAGAAAGAATCTCTACGTCTTAAAGCAGGCAAAGTTGTTTATTAAGTTACATGATCAAATATACAGACATTAGAATGACACAAACTAACATACTGTATAAAGAAATTAGCTGTAACATATGCACTGCTGAGCAACAAAGACAGTGAAACTGCCTTTGTTAGCATACGAGGCTACGCACTGGTGTGCGGGAGATGCAGAGTAAAAGCCATTCTCCCAGATCAACAGTTACCTTTCCCTATTATACCCTGAGCAAAGCTTTGTCAAACATGAGTGAAAACCAACCCCCAAAACCAGCTGAACGTGAGAACAAAGTTGAAGAGATGAAGTGGGGGAGAAGTACATTAACATACTCTCCTCAGGCCATGACCCAACAATAGTAAATATATTGTAGATTGAAACACAATTAATCAATGTCTCTGTTGATTTCATCACTACAACACTGAAGTCATAAACTGTCAAATAACACCAAACATGACAAAGATATCAGAAGGAAGAACACAAGCAGATTAATTGTGTATGGTGAAGAGCACATGGTTACTGTAAGCAAATGGCAGAGATGTGTATAGGAGCTGTGAGGAACTCTGCCTCACCAGGAGGACCCATCCCATGCTTGGAATGTCTCAGTAGTCCTTCATTAGCATAGAAGGAAATATATATCATATTTTCTCAGCTTACAAACCCCTCTCAGGTTCATTGGACCTCAGAAATTATAAAAGGTCCACATGTGACCTCAAATAAAAGCTGAGAAGAGTAATCCAGTGTCTCCTTTGGCAGAGCAGTGCAGACTGATGATGATCATTGTCAATGACGCTCAGAAGATATACACACAGAACACCTTTTCCTGTCAGGTGTAGGCATAGTCAGATAATCACATGGGGACACTTGTCAGGATGTCTTGTCTGGATCCTAATGTCCATTTCACAAGATGTATGTCCGTCTCTGGCTTAGGAAGCCAAGTAAACTCTGATATCTGTGGGATTTAGTATATCTTGTGGAGGGCGTCTTCAATTCTCCAGTGTTTGTGTTCCACACTGAAGCTGCCTTTACCTTCATGCACAGAAAATGATTTGCAAAGGAGAGCAACCCATGAAAACTGAAAGAGGCATTCATTGACGATGTATAACTGGTGACAGAACAGCAAAAGAATAACCATGGCAATGAGAAGAAAAACATATCTGCAAAACTGGCATATGAGGTTATATGGCAATATAAGCATGTAGTAGTTCAAATATCAATATAATGGCATTTCAAATTAAAACTCAATGTCCGAAGACAAAATAAATGACATATAATGTAATGTTTGCTCAGAATATAATGAAGGGAAAGTAACAACATGATAGGGATTATAATCTTTCTGGTGTTTAGAAAGAAAGCAAAAAAATAAAATAAAAACAATTTGGTTGATTATGAAGTGGCCAAATTAAAAACGTGAAAAAAAGTGAAAAGTGAAAAAAGTTGTGAAAAACAAGACAAATAAATGGGACCTTTGGAAAGATTGAAATATTGTAATATATGTTGATTCCAAACCCCTCTCTGATAGTAGGAGCACCAACAAAATAAATGAATATGGTGTAAAAACAAAAAATGGGACTTAATGTTTCTGGAAAAATGTACTTGTCTTTGAAAAGTTCAACCATTGTTGACTTCAAACCCCTCTCTGATAGTAGGAGCATCATCTAAAAAAAATAAAAGACACCGTTAATTTTTCTGAAAGTATTTGTCTTTATAAAAAGTTTGTTTGATTTCAGCACTTGCTGT